AGTCACCGCCTCGGAGGCGGTGACCCACCAGTCTGGTGGCACCAGAAGTGAGAAGGCGAAGACTCTGGTAATTGAACCCGGAATCTTTAGCACGTGACGCAGGCCTGATGCCTTTATATCACATGCTTGATATTTTTGTTATACTCCTACGTCGAATCGATTGAATGTGAGTTTTAATTACTCGTATGTTGCAGGGCAGTCGAGAGAAAAACAGATGAGAGAGTCGGCACATTCGAGCGATAGTAAGGGTCGAGTGGACAGAGCGGACTTTCCATCATCGAGTAATAATTTATCAGATACGAGGCGCACCTGAGTAGTGAGAAAGACGATAAAATCGTCCTTAGTGGTCAGGCTGGAATGCATAAGTTAGCTGGGCGCTTTACATCATCCCTTCAGGAAACATTATGAGGATTTGGAGAGGCAAATGGATTCGAGAGAAGAGAACTTGAACAGACGCCTATTGCAGGTCACCTAGGCCAACCGACTGATGACTCATTCCCATACGATCTTGAATTTAGATAGGTTCAAAGGCGACAGGAGAAGATCGATTCCTTGCTCAAAGATCGCGCGTAGATACCAGAGTACTGCAGAACAACGTGACAATGGTTGAAGAATCAACAATCTACGGAAAGGAGTGTCATTCCTGAAGAACGAGCGTGATGCAGAGAACCGACTGAGTTTGTCTGAAAGCTCAGAGATGCCTGGATCGACGATTGAGCAAAAATCTATTGAGCAAAGCCTGGAGGCTGCCGTGCAGCGCAAGGTCCGCCGTATGCTGTCTGATATTGATTGAATCCTTATATTGCATCATCACTGTAGCTTGGCATTTTGATGATGAGTCATACTCTGTGACGTCATGCACGTCAATGACGTGCATGGCTCGGCACTGCCCTATTGACCATTTCATGTGCCGCAGTATGAGCCGGACATTGGGAGTCTTTCGAGTAGGTTATGATGGTCGTGAGCTCACCAACGAACTCATTGAGCAATATCGAATGTGTCCCGTTAATTGTGTCCTCGTTGACAGACGAAGAATGAGTGACCGATCATACTGATCGCAGATATAGTTGTGGAGCAATGTAGGTCATTCAAGTTCTTTCGTCACGTAGGCTGCGTGAGTGGACCTAGCTAGCACACTGTCATTTATCTCTCAGACTCGAGCACAGTGCCATTGTGACAGTTGCTTCCACTGCAGTGGCACTGCTTCATCCACCGAGATGTGGACCTAGCAACCTTGCAACCACAATTCGGCCACGAACCGTTCGAGCTTCTCTGAATTTTCTCAGCCTGGACAGATCACTGAAGTACCGCCAGAAGAAGAGGAAGCAGTCATGCTAGCGAGTGTGGCAATTTGCCACTGGCAACCGGACCTGTGCTGGCCAGCATAAATGCTTTGGCTCCCGCATTCATACACTACCAGGGAGGCATCATAACAGATGGGCCCATCTGACAGATGGCATCTGTTATGATGCCTTAGTAAGGCAGCCTTACCACAACCCCATGATACTCGTTGTGGTGGCTGTACACGAGTCGAAAAACCTGATATGCTGAGAATATGTGGATGGGTTTATGACGAGCTACGGTAGTTCCGAGCCGAAGAGCAATTGTACATTGTAGGAAGGCGAAGAATAAATATGATAAAACCCGGCCCGATTTTGATCGAGGTGACTATGTTGGGCTACGACTCGTAGGCTACGAGCTCCACCACGACGGTCGGAGCGGAGTAATCGTATATGACAAGACTCTTCGCAGAATTTGCAATTCATCTTATTCGCAATTTGGTGGCGCGTGACGTTGGGAATGTCACGACCTACAAAATTTTCAAAACCGATCGGAGTAGTTCTGAAATCTGCGGTTCTGGAAACGATTGCAGAAACGCGCAGAAGCATTTTTGAACACAATCCAAGGTGATTCTGGGAACGTTTTCGGAAACGATTCCAGAATCGGTCCTCTGAACATGATTTTTCAAGATCAAATCTGGAATCGATTTTGAAACTCAGAACTGGTTTATAGTAGCCCGCGAGATCTGCCCTGGGAAGATGAATTAAATCCTCCAAAGCAGACAACTGCTCCTAGAACCGGATCAGTCAGACTGATGACACTGACTGACAGTCACGAGTTAGCTCGGTTCATGGTCCGAGGATTTCTCTCCAAACAATGTCTAGCTTGAGGTAGATATTCGCCCCTGGTCTGGTCTGCGTCAGAAGACCAGCCTCGACTCGAGGCCCTCGAGGGGTCACTCACCTTACAGTTGCCGAGAGCCACGGATCACCGACCCAGTGTACGGGTTCCGAGTTGTGGTTTTTGGCCTCTGCCACCTCCAAACTCGCAGGTCGAAAGTTTCAACTAGACGAAGTTGCAAGTCGAATTCGAAGGCTCAGAATTGAAACTTGTATTAAATTTCTCACGCACTTAAAGTTTCATGGGAAGTTTGAAAGTTCTGGAGGCGAACATGATTTTCCCGTTTCGGATTTGACCCTTCAACCTCCCCCCCGCGTCTCGACGGGATTGCCGATTGACTCTTGTGCGATCCAACACCACTCTCTCTACTGGTTTGGTATCTTTGCAGGCTATATAGTGATGGAATTAGTCGGGGATTCTGATTTAATTGAGAGTTCTTGTGGTGTGCGAAATTATCAAAACATAAATATCGACCTCATAATTGTGGGTTTAGCGGGAGCCCCTCGTTGACTAACACTACTCGGAAGTGCCATCTGGACCCAAAAGAACAACTACTTAGTTTCATGATCTCTTCCATAAACTTAACCCTCATCCTAAGAACTTGAATCGTCGTAAAAAGGGGCCATCCGGCCATAGCGAGATCGATCTGATGAGCATGAGTACGCGTACACAAGCACGCATGCGCAACGAAAAGTGAGCCGCTCTACAATGGAGCTGGCAAACATGGTGTAGTCTGCTGTAATCAACCATCCTTTGCTCAACAATAAAAAGCTTCAAAGATAAAAAAATGGATACCAGGAGCGTCACGCTGGATTTTTCCCTCGACAACCGTGACTGTTGATGAGCAACGAGAACGATAGGCGCCCCTCATATGCCCAAGAATCAAGACTACCAAAATGAATATAGAATAGTGATGGTAACGATACTTGACTATTCGGAACGAGAAGGAAACTTGAATGGCATTAGAACATGAAGGAGGAGAATGGTATTCAAGTAGGAGATCTGTAAATGATCTATAAGCACGTCGAAACCCAATGAAATAACGGTTGTGAACTCCCATGCTTGTCTCTCTTGATTGTAAATATTTTCGACAAGAACCCTTATGCTCGAGCTCAGTGGACCGTTGACGTTACTCGCTAGGATGTTCGCCGTGAGCTCATGCGTTCCATTTTTGGATGTGTTCGTATGCACATACGCCGTACCACTGTCCTGCCCCTTTGCTTGCACCATACCGAAGTGAGGGACAGTTACCCAGGTTTCCAGGGACATTGGAAAGTCGATTTTCTTCAACTCACCAACATCATGCCCGCCGTGCTTCGAAAGGGTCGGTACAGTGAGCTGAGCTACAACCGATATGTCACCTGGTATATTGAATTCCCAGGTACTCGTACCAGAGACCCAAATACCCACATCGATCGGGCTCTTGTCCGACCCGAGCAACACTCCAAGCTCGAAGTCGACCGTTCTCAAGTCACCAGACTTATTGGAGGCAAGCAAAGTGCCACCATTGACTTGATTAGAATCCTCGAGGATGAACACACAATAGTCCCTCCTTTGGTGAGGTGGCAAGCAATTATCGGGAACCTCCTTCACCACCGGCATACGGAGAGAACGTCGCTCAGCGCTATGGGTCGACTTGCCGGTGATATCGTCAACCGTGAATGCATCAGCGCCAACAAAAGTCATCATTGTTATCAGAATGAGGATGATGTTGGGAATTGTTGTGGCCTTGAAGGTCTTCAATTGTTGGAAATCATCCTTGCAGTCCTGTCTGACCCCGGTAGTATTATTCATAACTTTAGAGTGAGAAAAAATGAAATCTCGATCGTCAGAAATCGGCGTACAATTTGCAGTATACCGAAATGATTGCTCAAAATTATAAAGTCTGCGGAGGATTGTGCGCACCGTGCGCAGCGCACGAAGGTCTGTCACAAAACGCGTTCGGGTGGACTGAGTCTCATGCGGCCGAGGGCGTGTGGGTTTATGCAAACAGACGACATACAATCCAGGAATTACTTCGAACCTGGCTATATCCTATACTGGCCCAAGCCCAAGCGTGCTCATTCGGCCGCCAGAATGACCTGTGCTTCGGGCAAGTTGTGGGTATACATTGTGGGGTATCTTGTGCGGATACTTAATTCACGCAGTCCGTGGCACTCACATGGATATTCGAATCGACTGATCAGCTTACGACTCGCTTATAGTACGCTATAGGCAACTACAGACTCGCTATAGTATAGCAGTGCCAATTGCAGCAACATTGCAAGATCACTTTGAAAACGCCAAAAGAGAACACCCTGGTAAATGGAGCCTGTGCAACTAAAGACACCAGTTGGATACAAAAATCTAAAATTCGTTACACCAGAGCGTGGTTTCGCATAAACCATGGAACACGTCATGCCCATGCATAATGTGGCACTAAAAGGCGAAGATCTCAGAACCCGATTCGTCGAACCAATCTCCTATCTCCCGTAAAACTGCTCTTATGATAATTCAGCGCGCGCAATATTCAAGCAGCCCCACGTGAATTCGAACATTTCAAGACCAATCTCTGGTCACAGAATTTCAGTTTCAACCATACTTGAGAGGACACCCATTAGCGTAGAGTTCCATGTGTACCCGGATAATCAGCCAATTTCCACGGCTCATTTAGACTTAGCTCCTTCATTTGCAGCCCTATTCAGTAGGCAGGTCGCACCCGCGTGATTGCGTTAAAGGTTTGGGCGCGCTCTTTCAGGGGTCCCCGCCCGGGGCGCGCGCTGATACCATCATGGCATATGTTGAAGTTCCGAGTCATACCGTAATCACGCCTACTAGGCGTTACCGGGACGCCTAGCGGCGTCGCTCAGTAACTGTGCGTGGTTTAAACTATGCTATAGTTCGAACCGCGCATATCTTGTCCCCGAGTTCGCCGCATATCCTATGCAGGCCCGTGCGGTATCCTTTCCCGTCGTCAGTTGATCCCCCTTCTCCCCGACTCGGTGAAGGGCTCTGTCTGTGCTCGAAGTCAATGAAGCTCCCAACCTTCGGCTTGGACATGGCATGTCCGACATGCCTTGCGTGCCTTATACTCCCCGGTGGTACGTGCGATGAGATGAACAAACGTTCAGATCATCATGGCAGTCCCATGCCAGCAATTTTCTCATTGTGTTCTCTATCTCACAACTTCTCGCACCGGTCTTCATAATTGTTGGAGCTTAGAATGCTCCATAGTCGAACAATCGTCGTACATTCCACGTGCTCATGCTGAGTTTACTGCGCTGCATAACATGTGCTAAGGCATTACCCTTTTTTTCTCTCTGTCGTTCATCGGGCCTGCGTTCTTCCTGTCAGTTCCAGAACCAAAACTTTCTCTAGCTCATTTGAGAGCAGTATGACATCGAGCTCAACAATGGGGAACCGCGGCAACGTATAGAACCTCGCAGCGGTCGTTGCATCTTTTTCTAGGGAACTTACAAATTTGAAGTCTTCCTTCCGTTTTGTGGTATTCGTCGCTTCAGAGTGGGCTGGTCAATTGTCTGCTGTTTTCGTATTCCCAACTCGAACGCACACTTCAATCCACACGAGTGTGGATTGAGGTGCGCGATTCCTATGTTCCAGAGGATGGCTATTTCCCACCAGTCGTGCACCTAGCATACCTGGTGCCCGAACTCGTGCTTGTCTTCGCTCGTTGCCTTCTTCCATTCAGTTGTGCTGGAAAGCTGTTTCAAGATACAGAGTCTGTATTACCGAATCGGATTCCTAATGTCGTCCCACTCTCAGATCAACAGATAGTCGACTGTAGTCAACCATATGGCAATAGGTGAGTCGATGACGATTCTTCCGTCCCAGGGTGGGTTGTCGCTAGGGAATCTTTCGCGTGTTCTTAGTAAGAACTCCTTACTGTCGCCGCGACTCAGCGTCTTTCAGAGGTTACGCTGGAGGTTCAGTAAGGCACTCATATAGATATATATAGGGAAAGAGGACATAGTATGGACCATCACTCTACTTGGGGAGAACATAGTATAGATGTTGGGCAAATCGCCACCACCCGTGAGAGTAACACCAGCGAATGATCAAACTGAATACTGTTTATCCTTTGCAATGATGAACAGTGTTCCTCGGAAGGATTCCTTCAGCACTATCCTATCATCTGGCAGTTGCAATCGACGTTCTCCTAGCATACGAGTTAGACGGCTCCTCAATATTAGCAGAACCCGGCCAAATTGACCGGGCCAATCCTACCAAGTTGGGTGAGTCAACTACTGTCGAGCCTCTTACTGAGACTGCGAACAGATTCGGGCACCGCTAGGATCTCCATTGAGCGTGTAATGTTAGTGCAACCAACGTGAGAAACGGTTGCTCAGCAGCCAAACGTGAGAGCTGGTGGCGTGAACATTCAAGAGGCGGTACGAACCATTTCCAATAGTTCCATGCTTGACTCATCCCCTTGAAGTTCATCGCGGCCTGCGCTTCGTAGTCGGAAGCTTTAGGCGGCTGAACGTGGGCCATGTTACGTGGTATGGATCTACGCGGAGGGGGAGTGCCCAGGACGAGAGGATGTTGAGCACCATCCCGAATTCATTTCGAATTAGTCGTGCACGAGCTCAGATCGTGAGGATCTCTCAGAAAGCTTCCTTGCATAACTCCATGTAAGGATTGAACGAGCCCTTGCCTGGCTAACGCCACTCAGAAGTGCCGTTCGGCATTTACCTAATGGATGATAACTGAGCTCATAACACGATAGAAGAGGCCAGCGCTATAAGGGCAAGTCACAGTACACGGACGCAGCAGACAGCATGCATGCTACAGACGGCAATGTCGTTACTCACGGCATGCTTGCTTCTCTGGTAGCGGGCCTGGTAATCCGCGGTATAACATGAGACATTTAAGGGTTCCACGGTGGAACTTCTAGCACATTCCGTTCTACGTACCCCCTCAATAGATCTTCTTTTAACTCATATGCGGTTCGCACTAGGGATCCTTAAATCTCGTTACCGTGGCTCAGGATATGGTCAGAGAATCCAGCCAGGTGACTGGAGCTGATGACATCGAGCAAGCCTTCCAGGAGTTCATAAGAATGTGAGATGCACCGTCACATTGATAGCGTTAGTTGGCGTACAACGACGCAGCACGTGCTGTATTCCGATCTCGTAGGTACAACAAGAAGTATGATTCGAAGGAACAGTACGAGGTTGCCAAGGCTGCGTTCATGCATAGCTTGAGAGAGATAAAGGATTTGAAAGCCAACGGTGAGCAAGCTACACGGTGTAGCCTACACCGACGATGCGGACCATTATGCGTAATTCAGGGGATATATCTTACAGTAAGATTCTTACTAGATCGGCCTCAATGAGCATGCTGATATACCACGTGAAGTATTCAATAAAGTGCTAACGTGCGTTCCGGATCTTGAATCCGAGGAGGAACGATCATTCTCGGATATCAATGGCTCAACGAGGCTTCTCTCTTATCACTTCATGCAGAGCATAACCTTCCCAGACCTGAAAGATAACCTGAAGGCTCTTCCTGCGTCGGTCGATTGGGAGGCTTTTGGTGCGTTGGGGCCAGTGCGGGATCAAACACCACGTTGTGGTAGCTGCTACGCAATGGTTGTCGCTGGTAAGTCTCTTGTTTGATCGAATATCGCGCTTGCGGCGCGACATCGAATTCGGCGCGACATCTCACTCGCGCTTGCCAGACAAGCCTTTCCTTCGCTCGATGCATTGGCTGCTCCCATTTAATTGTGCTGGAAAGCCGTTTCACGATACAGACTGGGATTCCCAGAGTCATCCCATTCTCAGCTCAACAGATAGTCGACTGCAGTCAGCTATGCGGCAATTAGTGAGTCGACTACGGTTTGTTTGTCAGAGGGTGGGTTGTCGGGAATCCATCTTTCGTGTGTTCTTACTGTCACTCAGTGTCACTGACACTCACTGCGGCTCGGCGTCTTTCAGTGGCTGCAATGGAGGTTCAGCGAGGGTAGCATATGAATATGGTAACACGGCTTGTAACACGATCAAATCGTGTTACAAGCCGCACCGGATGCTACCTAGATCTGGAACGAGATTATATACTCTTGATCGCTGTGCTTTCTCTCGTGATCCAACAGGCTTAACTCCCTCTACATCTCCGTCTAACCACATGCCTGCACCACTTGGAACTCCATCTACTTCGAATTTCGAAGTTAGAAATATGAAACTTTATACCTACGATTATGAAATTCATAATATGAACTACAGGCGACTCGCCTGTAGTAACTCGCCTGAGGCGAGTTACTACTAGCTCTAGCTAGCAGCACGACTTGCTGCGAGTGGGTCACATTCAGCAAAAGTTCCTGAATGTGACCCGTATCATTCTATTCAGAGATGTTGATTCAACATTGTCGAATTCTTGTTCGGTGAAAATGCCGCATTCTTCTTGCAGCTTCGGAATAATTCCGGCGGAATTCGCCTGAGCGCAGCAGAAAGCCAGACCAAGCCACCAAAGTGCAACTCGCAGGATTTGTAAACCGCTCGTAGCCTCCGGGTCGGAGGACCGGAGAGTCTCCGGCTGAGACCATCTCGATTGAGGTTGTAGACCGACATTCAGTCCCGGACAGGGCTGCAAGATGTGTGGTGATGACATCACCACAGCTTGCAGCACCGTGATGTCTATAAGCCTGTACTGTGGGAACCTCAAGTGAGATGATCGCGAGTCGTCGAGCTAAACGTTGACTCGCATATCGACATTAACGTGGCATGGGTGGAGGCCCTCCACCCATGCCGGAGGGTGGGCTGAAAATAAAGTTCACAACCGCAGACCCAGGTGAAAGAACTCACTTTGAAAGCTCGGAGTAGGATGATTACAGATTTGAAGTGCCGCAAGGCCTTCAATCGCCTGTGACAAGCCGTCGTTTAGTGACTATTAGGGAGAGAGCCTTGTCAGCTATGACTTGAAGCCGTCTTGTTTCTTTTACGTTTGGGAGAGAGACTCGTCAGCAATGAGTCGAGGCCCTCCCTCTTTTGGTATGTATTGCGTGTGTCCCCGCTATGGGCGCTTTCTATTTAATTAATTAGTGTGATTAGATCCCGTCGTAGCACGCTCAGTTTGCAATGGCGAAACTCTTGGGACAGAGGTCGTTTGAACGAGAAGAAGTCGATCGAAGGTCTCATCCAGCTCCTTGAGAGCAGAGAAACGTGATGATCTAATCATGTATTGCTTGTTTGATAAGGAACGTTTCAATTGAAAGCTCAAAGTCAGTCCGTATCCTCACCGTAACGGTCATTGAGAATCTTCCGCAGTGCGCGAAGAGAAACAGTCTTTGCGACACACACACATCTAACCCTGTCCCATTTTCCGGAATCTGAGAAGCTCACCCATGATGTGGGGTGTAAAATAATGATACCACCGAGAACAAGTGCTGATAACAGAAGCCAGCAGAAGGTCGAGCCAGGAGAGAAGTACCCAAGGAATGGATGCCATCCACATCCTTTAGTGCATCCACTGGATGCACCGAAGCGGCTTCGGCGAAGCCAGAAGCTAGGAGGGCAGCCCGAAACAGGAACCATCAAGGCCCTGAAGTTCAGGGCCTGAACCTCGAGTTGCTCTGGTTAGCCGTTGGAATCTCTGGTGTTAGCCTGCCGAAGACCAACTCAAGCGAGTAGAGCGGCGGCGGCCAGGTGAAGAAGTCTGATCGCTTAGGCCTCGACTCAGTTCGCCAGATAAGACAGCTTCCACGTCTTCAAAACAGTCAAATCTTGTCTACTGCGTAAACATCATTTACTCCACCTCGACCGTGCGGTCCTGGGACATGTCATATGATCGATCCTAAACTTTTCCGAACACGCTCAGGATCAGCCCTAGGAGTTGTTTGCTGGTCACATACTAGCTCCGGTTAATCCTGAGCTTTGGATTCCAAAGTTTGGAATCTGTCTATTGGAACCCTAATATAAAAAAGCCTTGCTGAAATTTCTGTCTCAAACACTACTAAATAGAGAGGAATATTAAATTTTAGAAGTTGCCCGAAAAAAATATGAAGAATGTGTGTTAGTTTGCGAGAACAACGTTAGGGAACAAGCTGTCGCTATCACAGTCTATAAAGGTTAGTTTTATCACATCGCATCTTCATAGCAATTTTCACATTGATTATGCGATACATTTTCAGATCTACTCTTATTGATACCACACTTCTTTAATTTGCTCATCGATTCGGCGCGCACGGACTGAACGTTTCCAACTTCGGTCCGATCAGGGGCCGTATGCGGATCCTGATGCAACAGGTGAGTCAGAGTATTTACTCAGATGAAAAAATCAGATGGTGAGTATTAACCCCTGATTCGGTGATTTTTTACTCTGGAGCGAGAAATCAGGATCATCGCGATGATATGTGAATCTCCGAGCTGATTCGCGAATCTAAAGTTGATTTTTTGGCTGATTAATACTCTTACTCAATATGCCTTGCTCATGAGGCTGATTTTTCGGGTGATTCCATTAAATCTGAGTATTTTCGAGAATCAGGGAATCAGAGATTGGATCAGACATTTTTGACAAGACGAAGAATATAGTCGCTACGGCGTGGCGGGCTCACTAGAACCATAATGCGGGCTCAGTAAAACCGCCGAGAAGAAAACCTAATTACCCATCCGAAACATGTCTCGTTGTAGGGCTACAGGGCTCGCCACATGCACATCTTATCCCGCAACGCTGATCCTTGGGTCGAACCCCGTTCCCGGCACTTCTCTCTCGTTTTCTTGCATTTGCACGAGCGTTTCGTTCATACGCGTACACAACTTGCGCCAAGCTACATTTTACGATTGTACGGTAGTGCTAGACTGGTTGCTACGCATGGCTGTGAGATGGGAGCGATTCCCGGAGGCCCCAACGCTGAAGTGCCAGTAAAGTGCAGATTCGCCATCGGGGTTTCCGAGGAGTAAAGCTGTAAAGCTGAATGACGCCCCACATCCGAAAGTGACATTTTCAAGAAAGGAGGAAAATGTCACTTTGCGAGGGTAGAACCTGGTAAATTCGCCCCAAATTCATGAGCATTTCCCGTTCCGCTATAACAATGACAAAATTGTGAAAGAAGATCTTTTGTCGCACGTGTACACATCCGTACTTCAAACTTTTCAATATGTTCACTCGGAATCCGACAATCCCTCAAGAGGATCGATGAAGGGCATTTATTGTCTTTATGAATAATTGATTGAATTAAGGAATGCGTAATTCACACCGTGTGGTTGCATGTACTACGTGCGCTAAACCTCCATCCACCGTTATGTATCGTGTGATCCCATAGCTGAACTGGTTAAGGGTGTGCATCCACGTGCTCGAAACAGGGGTTCTATTCCCGGGCAGGGTTATACTGATACCCTGTATGCACTACGTGCGCTATAGTATAGCTATACCTCCTTGCACTGTCTTATATTGTATAATCTCACAGCTCAACTGGTCAAGGATACACTTTCACTTGATCAAAGCCGAGGTTCTATCCCCCGGCACGGTCATTCTAAGCACCTAAGCCATCGCAAGCAGCAGAGGAGGTTTACCGTGGCGCGCGCTGAAGTCGTGAATCAAGGTCGAGAATCAGAATCAGGGTTTGGTACCGGGGGTCCGGACCCCCGGTACGAATCAAGGCAAAATAACGTGGAAAAATGGAGATACTCACGGCGTGAGTATGATTCGGAAT